CTTCACGCTAGTAAAGCGCATACGGTGGTCCACAACGGCCTGCACGTTCAACGCTGGGAACATCTTCCTACAGTAGTAACCTTCGAAGTCGACCGACCTGTTAATCTCCACTAACGAGCCGTCTATCGCTCCAACTACACCTGGTATCCCCTCTTTGCTTGAAATGATTCTTGCACTTGAGCCCAGCTTTCGATGCACCGAGGAAAACGGATAAACTTGTGCACCGATTGCCGTAATACACGTAGAAAGACAGCAATTACATCGATTGCCCATGATATCAAAATAGCGAAGGCAGCAGTAGTTTCTCGGTATCCACCCTGAGAACCCAAGAAAAAAAGTAGACAAGCAACCTTCTCTTCGAACGGATGCTCCTTTATAAATCGGTCAAGCTCATAGTTTTCTAGTTCGTGACGAAGAACGCCGCAAAGGCGCAAGAACGCGGCTTGGCCACAAGTAGATTCTGTCGAAACCACTCGTCATACTGCGGATCAGAGAGGATAGCAGTAAATTCTAGAGAGCTTAGCGTGAGTGAGAGAGGAAGCGGCGGTTTGAGCAACTGCTACGAGAGCACCCGTCGCGTGGCAGCAGCGGTAGCAGTGATTAGGCAGCACGCACATATGTCACTATTTTGGTATTATGCCACCCAGACGATCGTCTCCAGCCTGAGACTGGTGGTTCAGTCGTCTTAGTTTGTGCGATTGAATCCAAACAGCTGAGCTGATCGAGCCTTCCGTCAGCCAATCAGGTCTGAGATTCATATGTTGCCACATCGTTGAAGACGATCAAAAGTGAGCCGATCGTTGCCCGACCACGCCCTTAGTGACACGTTGGTCGCTAAAGTTGCTAATGCGTTCCTTCAAACCTTTTCAAACAAGTATCACGTGCATCTAAAGAAGACTCGTGAATCACGATTTATGGTGCGTTAAATACTAACATCTTGACTCCGAAGTCCACTTGCAATTCCATTATTATTGTCGTCAATTTAGCGTTCAATTTGAACCGCTTGGACGATTCGGTGCGGAAACCAATTCAAAGAGAGCTATCAAAAAAAAATACGACCCTTTTCTACAACTGCCGCGTCATTTCTCAAAAAGCGATGATTATTTTTGTATAAAGTAACGCTAAGCTTAATACGAGAATAAAAATGTTGTTTAATCTAGTAACGGCGTGAGCCTGCTATTCTCACGTATTCACTTTACTACGGTAAGATACCTAATTCAGCTTACATGGGGCCGTGGTTGAGCATCCAATTTGTTTTTTTTAGTACTGCATGCGCCTGAAAATACAAAAGTTAAGAATAGCTTTGGTTTATAATGACTCACCTCGTTGAGAACAGAACAGTGTACGCGGAGCACCATTTGCACGCATTAACAGATTACTTCTACGCCATTTTCACAGTCCTCCCAGCCTAAAGCGAAGCATCCTAGTTAGCCAATCAAACGGATAGACAATTGACCACCCCCTTCAGTTCCTTCTGCAGCAGCAAGCAAAGATTTCTGTGCAATGCTGCGCTCAAGTGCCCGTCAAGTCGCTCTCCGAAAAGCTACAAGTTGTTCTCCAAATCAGAAAGAAGACTGCTACTCTCCGCTATATTCAATGGAACAAGAAATTATCCAAAATGAGTACAGTGGAATTGTAAAAGAGAGAAGAATACGCTCGTATACAAGCAAATGACCTAGTCTTGTATAGTATAATTTAGGCAAGAGCCCCGCGAAAGTGTTAAATCCTTATTAATATTAACAGTTATTAACAGTGTTGACTTAACAGATATTGCTATGATAACAATCCCTCCGTCCATCTCAGGGCTTTCCTCAAAACTAAACAATTCTTCGATACATCAAGCTTTGTTCTAAATATTCCATACATTACTACAAAGTATATCTATTTAATCCATCAGTAAGCTTAAAAATATTATATTCATTAAAGATTTCTATTCAGTCTTTGTGAAACAGCATAACTGAAGAAATTCTTTATTTTTAACAGTGTTTTTAATTTTATAAAAATGGAATTGAGCATAAAATTGTTGTGATAATTGAAATTTGATATTTGAACAAAATCAATATCTTGAAAGAAAAAATTCGAGTATTTTTATTAGCTTGGCTAGTAGTATTACTTTTGATGAATATTAATTGCTTATACTACTTGCTTAAATAACATTTTTGAATTTCTTTCTTAATAATTTGCTCATATCGTCTAATTACTGAACTTGATTTTTGTCCAAATATCAATTTTTCAATTATCACAACAATTTTAAGCTCAATTTCACTTAACACAACTTGGTTACCTTCAGGTTTTAGTACGTTTGGCCGGCGTACTTCTTGAGCTGCACTAGCAGGTCCTGGTATACCAGCTCATTCGCATTCTGGGCCCACGTAAAGTCCAGATGCGAGAACGCATCGATGGTTTTCTCGTACACGATGGTACTGCTTGGGAGCCCGGAGCGGATCTGGGCAATGTCGGTGGATGTCGCGAAGGTGTCCGTCGCGCCGATGTAGAAGCCCGTGCGAGGGTACACCATGTTGCCAACGGGGTAGGCGGGCGGATCGAAGCTGCCATACACAGCCTTGTTCTTGCAGATGAGTGTCGAGCAAAGGTTGATACCAAGAATACGCAGACAACTGCAGCCATAGTCGTACGACGCGAAAGTGTCGTCACGGATGCCTTGCGCATAGTGAGCCATGTTCCTCACCGACGTGCCGGCAGGAGTCTGCGATAAGTAGACAGGAATGCGTGTAGCATTAAGGTTATCGGACGGCCCAGCGATGAGGCCGATGGCGGAGTCACAGAACTCAGCCACGTTGGTGCACACGACGTCCGACAAGAGGACGGTCAGCAGGTCGCTGTGCGGCAGGAAGCTTGTGAAGCCCAGGTTAAGAAAGCTCACGTCCACTTTGAGCTTAGCCAGTGCAACGAAGAGCGCAGCCGTCGCATGACCGGTCCAGGCAACCGGAGCCAGAGCTCCGAAGTAGTCGACCTTCTTCGCGACTTCCTGGTTCTTTGAGAACCCCACGAAAGCTTGCGTCGTTCCTTCCGAGTGGCCCACATAGCTCACTGTCGAGCGACCAGTTGTGTCGAGGATATGGTTCACAAACGCCGGCAAGTCGTACAAACCCATGTCTTCCCAGGTGAAATCCCAGAACTCGTCATCGTCGGTGGTGTAGTCGAGGTGCGAGCGGGACCACGTCGTACCCCGGTTGTTACCGAGCCAAACGTCAAAGCCAGCATCAGCCAGCACGTACGCCAAACTCTGGTTACGAAAGTTCGAGACGAACGTGAAGCTGCTGTCGAGAAGTCCGTGCTGCAGGTGGACAGCGGGTTTATTAGCAGCAGCGGCGGCGCCCGACTGACTTTCAGCATAAGTCTTCGGAAGGCGGTACATCGTGAGTACGTAGCGATCAGAAGTTGTGACTTGGTGAGTTTCGATGGCGTAGCCTCGGGCTTGGACAATCTCCACGACGCTCTTGCCCACATCCGGGTCCACCACGGCTTGCTCTGCTTCCTCGACAAGCGC